TCTTTGTCTATTACTCATTGCTTGTTAATGCTCTTGTGGCTGTAGCTTTTGGTTTATTGATGAGCCCTCAAAGATTTACTACTTCCTGTTTCACTTCTAGATACCTAGCCTGCGTTTCTTTATTAGCCGCAGTGGCCTGGTGGTTACCAGATCGTACCGAATTTACCACGAAATGAGTTATGTTTCATAGCAGACAAGATCAGTTCTAGAATGTGTGTCTTTTCTTCTGTTTGCACAGGATTGCAGCTGAAAACTTTTTACTTGTTTCAGGTAAATGGAGTAGATTTAGCTGGCAAATCCCAAGAGGAAGTGGTTTCCCTGTTGAGAAGCACCAAGATGGAAGGGACTGTGAGCCTTCTGGTCTTTCGCCAAGAAAATGCCTTCCACCCAAGGGAACTGGTGTGTAAATTTAGAGCAGATGAAACTTTTCTGATGTACATGAGCCAGGGATCTCTGGGCCAGCTACCTGATGGCCAGTGTTTATTGAGACATTTTCTAGGCAGTTTCTCTATTTTATGTGTCTTTCAGCCTTTACTTAATACAAGCATTCTTTTCTCATATTTCCTGAGTTTTGGAAATAGATACCCGCAATGTTGAGTGTAGGAGTATTTCAAAATCAGATTGCTGGGATATTTCCTAGGACAGCAAATGTTTATTACTGAATGCTTTCAGATGGACTGATTGAATACAGACACGTCGATTAATTCATAACTGTCACTTCAAAGGCTGTTGTTGAAAGCTTGCCATATTCTCTACTACATATGACAAATCTTCATATTTCAGATTTTCATAGTGCATGTAGCTAAGCCAAACAAAGATGCATGATTGTTGTATGAAAAGGAGTACCTCAGTTAAATGTTATTATTGAAAATAAAGAGACCTGAGTGGCAGGAAGCCCATGGCCATTAATTACTAATATAAACATTTGGAACGTCAGATGAAATATAAAGGCATTTGTTTTGCAAATTATGTTACTTCTTATACATAAGAGTATATCAATATATCTAAATATTAGGGTATTTCCGTAGTATTGGTATGAAGGAAATATGCATATTAAGTTGACATAGATCTGAGTGCTTTTCTGCAAAAAGTGCTGTTTCATTTATATATAAAAATTACATAATTGGAGGAAATCACCTTTTATCTTTTGATGTGGTGTGAAGGTGGTTTTACTTCAATTACAAGTGGTATTTTAAATATTTCAGAAACAGATTCTAATTGGGTCATTTTATAACATTTGACATTTCTTTCAGCTAGAGCTTAGCTTTCTTTAAAAAACAGTTAATTTGTTTACACTAGAGTGGGAAGGCATTAGGGGCACAGTTTCCAAATTTGTCCTATAGCCCTAAGTCTCTTAGGCTAATACTTCAGGTATATCCATGGCTAATAAAATGTTCCTTTTATTATAAACCAGGTAAATTTTAGTTATAGGACTATC